GATCTATATCCACAGGCATTGAAATAAGGATCTTAATGAGATATCTGCATGCATATGTTCAGTGAATCATAATTCATAAAATTTATCAATGGAATATTATTGAGCCATAAAAAAGAAGGAAACCTAACCATCTGCAACAACATGGATGGACTTTGAGGGCATGTTGTGTGCCTACCAATAACCAATATTGTGGCAACCAGCTCTTGTGGCTCTTATGACTGCAAGATGCCCTCAGCAATTACTTCCTGGAAACTGAAAGAAAATAAGGTTTATTACTTACGGGACCTGGAAATTACATGGCACACCTGGGGCCACAGATTGTGGGATGTATTGAGGTTGAGCGTTGGGGACTAGGGTTTTCTGAGCTCACTCTTTATTGGTGAATTTAAAATGTAAGAGCAGGAATTCAATGCATGGAAAGAGGAAAAAACAAGTGGCTCCAATGGTCAGTTACTAAAATCAACCAAAGGACCCAAAGGTAGGGTGGCAGCTTCTGAGGAGATCCCAACATGATGTGCATGGCGTGGCTCTTTATCTAGTCATGGTTGGCAATGTGTATATTGGAGATTGTCAACTGGATGTCTTGGCAATCAAATCTTAATTCAGACAACTGCATCATAATAAGAAAAGCAAAACTGTCAGGGCTTACACTACAGGGCCTTATACTAAGTAAAATAAGTCAAGCAGAGCCCTGGCTTCTCTATTTCAGTGGACTGAGCACCAGCCTGTGGACTGAAAGGTCGCCAGTTTGATTCCCAGTCCGGGCACATGCCTGGGTTGGGGGCCAGGTCCCTACCTGGGGGTGTGCAAGAGGTAACCAATGGATATTTCTCTCGTATGTCAATGTTTCTCTCCCTTTTTCTCCCTCCCACCTCTGTAAAAATAAATAAATAAAATATTTTAAAAATAAGTCAGGCAGAGAAAGACAAATACCTATGATCTCACATATGGAATCTAAAACATCCCCCAAATACAACAAAACAAAAGCCCCTGAATTCATAGATACAGAGAACAGGTTGATGGCTGCCAGAAAGGAGAGGGGAGGGTCCCAAAACTGGTGAGGATGGTCAAAACAACAAAGTTGCTATGAGAAAAGATCTTAGAACTTCTCATTACAAGAAAAAAACTACAGTTATGTATGGTGATGGATGTTAACTAGCTACTATGGTGATCATTTCACAATATATACAAGTATCAAGTCATTATGTTGTATACCTGAAACTGATATGTTACATGTCAATTACATAACAAAAAAATATGCTTATGCTGTACATTCATTTTATTAATATCTTCCTTTGATTTCAAGTTGGGAACCCAATCATCTGCCTTCCATTATTCCCCTTTACACAACCTCAAGTAAAAATATAAAAGGATGATGGCAAATATCAGTGGTCAGATTGTGGAGAGGCCAGAACCCTGTATAAATGTTTTTCCACCATTGAAACCCATCCCTTTAATAAAAGCGGAAATCTCTGGTCTTCCTCATGATCTCCTTCAAGAGAACTGCCTGTGGGGAGCACAGTTGACCAAGAACCCCACCCCTGGATCCCACCATGGCTACACTTTCCTCAGCTGTTCCCAGCCAATGACTGAGCACAGCAGGGATCTTAGAGCTGGCCTGTCGCTTTAAGATTTAGGACTTCTATAATAGGCAACTTTGAATAGAGGACTCCCCATTGGCTTGGCTAAAGCTTTCTTAAAACTGCACTGTGGCCTCAGGCTCTTCCTACCCAATCCTTCTCCTTGTCCCCTTCCTGTCACAGGTGTGAAGCCTTCATACAGCTGGAAGTCTCCCTCCTCTTTATCCTTCATAGGCAATTCCTTCCAATGAAAGTCTTGCTTGTTTAAACCTGTTTTGGTGTCTGTTTCTCAGAGAACCTGAACAGATCCAAGGAATACTAGGTGTGGTTCAAAAAATAGGCAGTCAAGTTGGGAGTTTGGAGATAGGCTTTCTCACTGCCTGACTGATAAAAAAAAAAATGGCCCCATCCAGAGTGCCCAATTGCTGATTTCAGTGGTGCTGACCTAGGAAAGTATCCTGATGTCGGAAACTGCCCTTACAGCTGTGACAATTCAAGCATTTTAAAGATACAAGGGGCACAATGTCTATAAAGACAGAAGATTCGCTGGTTATGAAGTTGTACTGGTGCCCTGGAGAGGAATGAGAAACCGAGGGCCATTACTAATTCAAAGTTAACTGTGAGAGCCAGGGACCAGTCGTTGCTAGCTTAGAGAAGTCCTCGCCTCCTGCGGTGGAAGTGTAAAGTTGAAGAACAGACATAGGATTTGATAAATACTCAGCCAATGTAGGTATTGAAAACAGGGCTCTAGAGGGGAAAACATAGGACTTTGAAATATGAGGTGGGAGATCTCCAAGGATGTTCCAAAAATTTGGGAGCTGCAAACCTCTCAGAACCCCTAGAATGTGGAGAGGTGGTCCACCCTTTCTTAGTAAGAGCTAGCACTTCCTCCTTATAGAGACATACCACAAAGTCTTCGCCCCACCTACACTCTGGGCTGCCAGGCCAATAACTGATTCCAGCATTTCTTTGCTGGGAATATGTCGGGCCTAGCAAGAGAGGAGAGACATTACACACCGAAGGAGCTGCAAGCCGCTAGTACATACTGGCAGGAGCCAGGTGACTACTGGTAGAATTGGATTCTGAGGGTGTTTGCTCAAGAGGGCAAGAATATAACACCAAAAAAGGAAGAATGCATCAAATTGGGGCACTTTCTTATGTCATAGAATTGAGCACTCTGGCAGGTGCCCCAGGGGATGCGGCAAACTCTTTGCTAGGGCAGCTCTTAGAAACCTGGAGAAAGTGCTGGTCAATGCTGAGTGAAGTGGAACATACCTGTGTTGTCTTCACAGCCTGTAGAAGAAAGGGAGAGCTGGGGAAGACGGCATGCTGGGCGGATATGTTATGCAAGGCCAGAAGAGTACCAGATTATGTTGCATGGGAGAGCCTGGAAGATAACACTATTCACCAAGGTCAACAGGAATGTGCTAGGGAAAGGGGTACTAACACCCAGAAGTTCGGTGCTGGTTGTCCTCTGGAAGCCAAAGCTAATGGTAAGAGAGCAGTCACAGAGCTGGGCTCTAAATTCCAGGTAATCATGCCCTTGCCCTCAAATACATGCGTAAGAGAGGCCAGGTGGTAGTGCTTTCACCATTAGAGGCTAGGAGGCCAAAATGATCGGCAAGGTTGGAGAAGCAGCGAAATAGCCTTAGTCTGGAGGGAGTTAAAGCATGGTGTCCCTGAGGCAAAAAAAGATGGACATCCAATGAGGATGCTCCTTGACATCTACAACCAGAAAAGGGCAAGAATGGAGGGTAGGGGTTCGAGTATAGTCACAACAGAAAGGCACAGTCTCTTGCTGTTACCAGACCCGGGTCAATTTTCATATATGGAACCACTGAGTGAAGAGGTGGCTTGGTCCCTGGTAGAAAGGGCTTTGCAAACCCATGGGTATGTGCTGTAATGGTTCCTCAAAAGAACCTATGGCCCTTTACTTAGGTAACTGCAGTAGGGAAAGGGGTAAAACCAGATATTTCAGACTATTGAACCTGTGGTCTGAGTTGACATTTGATTCCCAAAGACCTTAAGTCATCATGACCCTGTTGGAATGGCAGCTTATGGGGGTCACTTAACAAATGGAGCTCTAAAGCTGAACTTACATTGTGTAAATGAACCACCGCTTTTCTTTTATCCAAAGATGGGCACCTGGGCTGCTTCCAAATCTTGGCTATTGTATGTAACACTGCAATGTTCATAGGGGTGCATGTATTCTTTCAAACTACTATTCTGTTTCTTTGGATATATTCCCAGAAATGGAGTCTCTGGGTCATAGAGCAGTTCCATTTTTATCTTTTTGAGGTAACTTTATACTGCCTTCCAAAGTGGTTGCACCAATCTGCATTCCCACCAACAGTTGCCAAGGGTTCCCTTTTCTCCACATACCAGCCAACACTTGTTAGTGGATTTATTGGTAACAGCCATTCTAATAGGTATAAGGTGGTATCTCACTGTGGTTTTAATTTGCATTTCTCTGATGACTAGTGACTTTGAGCATCTTTTCAAATGACTGAGTACAGTGAAGGTACTACTGCTGGCCCATTCTTATACAACATAGGAATCCTTTGACAAGCTACTTTGGCCTGAGGATACTCCACCAGCCTGGCCCAGTGGTTTTAGAACTGCACTGCAGTCTGAGGCTCTTCTGACCCAGTCCCCTTTCCTACCCACGCTCGAGTCCAGCCTACAGTACAGAAGGCAGGCTCTCCCTGTCTACTGCTCCTTCCTCATCTTTCAGGCAGTTCCCTTTAATAAATTTCTTGCATGTCTTACCCCATTTAGGCATCTGTTTTTTAAAGGATTCAAACTGACACACAGGCTCATGTTTATGGATCAGTACTTGCATACTGTCTTTGAAACCACACCCAAACTAATAGCTGTATAAGTTCACCAGAGAATTTGGTTCACCTTGAAAGTCAAGTAATTTGAGGCCTACAATAAATCATACGGATTAAAAGATAAAGATGGTTGATCTCTTCTCAGCCTTAAGAAAATGATGCCAAGAAAGCATAAAAAATAGAACACAGAGCTTAAGATATTAACCTCACTAAAGAGTTCAAGTCTCTTGTGTATCCCACCTTAACTATATCCTCCTACCACTCTCCAGATTGAGATTTTTATAATCCCTGTGCATCTCTTATTTTTACTACAAGTATATGTATTCTTAAATAACATTTTTTTCTTTGGATTTTTTAAATGCCTTCTTTACTTAAAATTTCCTAAAATTCAGGTATATATATATATATATATATATATATATATATATATATATTTATAATGAGTTTACTAAGCTGATGATTTCAAAAAACACGGAACTATTTACAACTTAGATTGAAGAGAAATTATTTAGCAGAAATGGTTACAATGCTGAGAAAAACAATGTTTTATTATTGACTTTATCATGAATTATTATTTATGAAAGTTCCATAAATGCAAGGTGATCATCTTCAAAGTTTCAAAAGCCAAATATAAAGCACAGAAAATATATTCCATTGGAAAATGTGCTGGCATAATTACTGTACATGTTATGTGAAATCCTAGGAAAAATCATTGCAGTAATTACTCAAAGTAGTATTAAAGGTAACACAAGAGATTTTTGGTCTCATACAACAATTTAACTGTATAGTATCTACAATAATAGATCAGAGCTAAAGTACATTTGCAATTTCTAACAGCAAAAGTAAGTCTGCAAATACTCTGTATACTTCAATGAAATAAGAAAGTAGATTAAGGATAAAATGTTAGTCTTATCAACCAGGACACCTTTTAAAGATAATTTTTCAGGGCTGCTAAAATGAACAACAAATAAAGGTTTACACATACAATACTAAACTGTTATAGTAGAGCCAGTACAGCTAGCTGATCCTTGAAGAATGTAGCAGTTAGGGGTGCCCAACCCTGAGGAGTTGAAAATCCATATAACTTCAGTCAGCCCTCCACATTCATGGATTTCCAAACTTTGATAGAAAATACTGTTTTGGACCAATGTTGGTTCAATCAGTAGATGCACAACCCAGGAATACAAAGGGCCAACTATTTATCTACTGAAAAAAAGAAAATTATGCATTTAAGTGAATCTGGCCAGTTAAAACCTGTGATGTTGAAGGATTAACTGAATTTTTATTTGTAGAGTTTTCAAATCAAAAGGTAACAAATAATTACATCAGCATGGGAAGGAATACACCAAATATTATTTCACAACTGCCACTATGTGTTTCTTCTTCTCTGGCACGATTGGCACAGATCCAGGCTTGCTGTGTTTCAGACGATTCACTTCCCTAGAATAAGATTAAAAAAACACAAAAATTTAGGCGAGTTTATGAGAAATCATATTAACTAAAGAAAACTTTCTCAAAAAAAATTACGAGGCATTTTCTTTGACTGGAAAAATCACTCACTGAAAAAGAAGTTTTCACAAAGGTAAAAAGTAGCTAGGGAAAAAACCCATTTGTTAACCTAATTACTTGCTACTTCTCTTATTACAAATCAATGTCCTTTATAAGTTAAAAAAATGTGCCACAGTTGATAAAAATATTTAAAAGGGACTCAATCCCAACATCTATTCATCTGTAGCAAAAATAATAATCATTTGCATAGTATAATTAAAAAAGAACTCCACTTTAGAATTTCTTTAATACTTTGCATGAATTCAAGAACTGCAAAGACTATTCCATAGGTGAAATACTGGTGGTGCTTTAGAGTAAAAAATGTTAGATCCAAATGTTATGATGAAGCATATTAGAAAGATTTTTGTTTAAGAAATATGCACTATGAGTTCTTTGCACACAATACCTCTTACTTTTAGCTACATTAGAAATCATTTTTAAAAGCATTATCTATTTACAATAGTCCTCTAGTATAAACAGAAGCATTTTCTTATTTTGATAAAAGTAATTTTCATTGTCCTTTAAACATAGTCTCAAAAATAGGTATTAGAAATTCTCATAATTTTATATGACTGTTGCTTCCCCTTTTATTAGGAAAAAAACCCATTAAATATGTAATAGCACATAAATTATTCCCTTGAAAGGCAGGTTTTATTGTTTGTTTCTTTTTGGTGATATGGGGGGTGGGGGACGGGAGAGGTGAGTTAGAGAAAGGTGCTGAGATAGTGTCAAATGCCCCAAAAACATACTTTCGTCTACGAGCTTCTTTCATGATGCGCTGTTCTTGAATCTGACTGTAGATTGATTTTGGTAGATGTCGGTGACGAGCAATACGTTTTATTTGAGGATGATGCTGAAATTTCTCCTTTAACTTCTGGTTATAATCTTTGGCTGCCTTTTCTCGTGATGTAAGCTGAAAAAAATGCATTTTGATATTTTAATGAATATTGTGTTCTCTGTTTTGCTTCAGTGTAACAAAGCTAGGAGGACCCCAAATTTTCCCCTCAAACTACACTTTTATGACATGAAACCAGAAATGCCAACGTAATTCTACCCTCTGCACGGTTACAGCAGTAGTACCAGGGCCACAGGCACTGACTGCGCTTTCAGGCAGCATGCTGACAATGCAGACTGATGCCAGCAATGAAAAGGAGCTGTGCGGAGGGGAGCAGGCCTATGGGGAGAGCGAGCTGGACCTTCCCTAGGCATAAACAACATAGCGAGCCACCCAAATTAATCACTCAATTTTTTATTTTTGTAGAAATAACTACTGAAACAGAAAAGATTAAGTGTTCAATGTGGTAATAACTAGCCTTTGTTTAACAAAGAAGGATGATAAGAGTTAGAGGAACATTTAATGATGAAGTGAAACCAGGGCAGAGACTACTTAGCATTCGTTAAACCTAAAATAGAATTGTCTTTAATTACCGCTTATCATCTTGTGATTTTCTACCAGTGCTAAGCAGACAATAAATCACCTTTAACCTTTCCTTCTTAAACTTAATATGTTTCTGATATAAACACTCTTTATGTTTCTTAGATAAAACATGAGACATTTTGAAAAAACATCAAAAACAAAACACAAAGAGCCAGAAACCCATAACCCAGAGGTAGCTGGTCAATGATGACATGTTACATTTTCATTGAGTCTTTTTGATGTCTGAAGCTTTCTGTATTTTTTTTAAGTTAAGTGTTTCACTGTGTCTTTAATTTTAAAAGAACCTGCAGTGAATTGCAGCCTTTAGCCTGCCAGACTACTACACGAGGAAAGAGGTGCTCTAAGTTCTGAGCTTTTAGTCCTTACATCTTCTCACCCTACCTCAAGGGAAGCACAAAGAATCGAGAAGGCTCAAATTACTATCCAACATCTGAATTAACAAAGGCTTCTGAAGGTGTCTCTGACGTGAAAGAAAGTAAATCTCAATACAGCCTTGTCTGTTTTAGTGCTAACATTTCTTTTTACTACAACTACGCCAATGTGATCAAACTACCTAAAGCACTTCAAATGAATTCTCTTTACAATATAATGATATCCAATAAATCAGAAACTAGCTCTACTTGACAATGAAAGAAAATGGGATCTCTTACCACACCCAATTTTTCAGAAGCATTAGCTTTCCAGAGACGAATGTTCATTTCATCAGATCCACACATGATATACTTGCTGTCAGAAGTCCATTTTACACAGATAACATGTTGCATTCTCTTTGTGTGATACACTTCCCTATGGAAGAATTAAGTTAAAACCTTTAGGATTCTGATACACATTTTCTTGAACCACTGCCTAGCAATTCTCAGAATACTATTTTTGAGTATAAGAGAAATTAAAATTCATTTTTATTTTTATTGAACCAAACTAAAAAAGATTCTATACTAAAGGCTGGGGAATTAAAAATTATTGCCATTCTCAGATAAGTTACAGTGCAGTAAGAAAATATAAACAAACTAAGCAAAACTAGATGCCCAGAAAAGTTCACAGAATAACTAAAGGCATATAACACAAATAAAATGTTAAAGCTGAAGAATTTTGTAACGATAAGATATAGATTGTTTTTAATAAGCCTCCATCCACCTGCTAAATCAATTCTGGTCAACCATCATTCTTTCTTAATTTTATAGGAAAACAAGATAAATGCAACAGTATTCAAAGAACACATCCTCATATGTTGATCCCAGTATCTGATTTTTGTACTGGTCAAATTGTTTAAAAAGCTTAACTAATTGAAGTGAGAGTTGATTGAACATGTGTGAAATGAAAGGGAGGGCTACAGAAGTGTCTGATGAGTTGATGTAAGAATCATTTAATAAATGGAGATGTCAAATATCAGACCTATTTGGAAAGGCTGTGAAACATGGTAAGTGAATTCACAGGAGATACTATATTGGGAAATGTGAAGGAGAGCATTAAAAAGCAAGTAAAAAATAAGGTCAGAAAAAAAAAAAGATGAGAATTCTGGAGAAATAAGTTTTCCATATCTGGATTAAAAATGATTCAAAATGCAGGCTCCTTGAGAGAAAAGAAATAAGCTCAACAAACCGCACAGTAAAGAAAACCTATATGTAATCACCAAATCAGAGTTCCTATCTACAAAAGCAGCTGAGGTACACTCACAAAGCTAGCCTTTTACGCTGTTTCGAAGAGATATGTTTTGAGCTCTTGAATGAATTACTTCTAAAAGTGGGGGAATGGTTAGAAAGAACATCCTATTAAAATGAAAATAGAGGAGATAGATTGCTTTTTCTTATCCTCTCAACGCTCTGCCTTTACAAGACTCAGTTCTTATAATCTCTACATATTTAAGAGTCTCCCTTTTCCCCCATAACCACATAATGAATTTAAATATTAGGAAATTCAATCAGGCTGTGATAACCATTAAAAATAACCTGTTCAGATATTAGACCAAATACAATGGTTAGTCACTTAACCAACTTAGAATCCTCCTTACTGGTAAACTATGCAGAGTTTAAAATTTCTAGATATGTTTTTGCTTGTACATATGATAGACACTAATTGTTCCATGGGAAAGCAATTGATTTACTTGGTTGCTTAGTTATTAATATCAATTTAACTGTAGTTTTTAAAAGAATCTACTTAAAACTTACTTTAAAAATACACATTAACAATTTTAAGGTCAAAGGAAAATATTTTTAAAATACAGATCATTCAAAGTTTTGCCCATGTCATCTGACATCTGTAACGACAGGAAACTAGAGCAGACTACACAGTAACAGACGAGAACCAGCTTTCAAGCAAATGAAGGCAAAGGTCAGAGGGATACCACTTATATCTAAACCCAACAGGAAGTAAGACATATTATAAAACCTCCAACTGATATCAGCAGACAATTCCCTGAAAATGGGTTGCAGGAACTCCGTACGTCACATAATTTTAGAATAATCTGAACTCTGTAGCTAGTTGTTCATATTGGTTTGGAGTAGTTCAGATTGAATTTAGCTACTTGGCCTGTGGGATTACATGTGCCTAAACAGTCCCATTTCTTACTTTTTCTTTGTGTCTTTATCATTTTTTTCTTGTGTGTGTGTCTACTTATTCATTCTGTTGGAAAAATACTGTCCCTACTACCTTGGAGGTTCTAGTGTGAGGAAATGAAGGGCCACATTCCCTTGATTGGTAATATTTTCCAGAGGTGAGAAGAATGTAAACTACCAGCCTTGCCTTGCCTGACTGAGTAATCCCAACAACTTTCATGACAGTTCTGATTAAAAGTAATGATTAAAATTCTCATCACTGCATTAAAATGGTAAGATTTCTCTACTCTTTTGCAGTAACACCACCAAACTAAGTGTTCTCTAGCTTCTGTAAAGGAAGGGTCCGAGAAAAATCCTCTGCTACCATCAGTGTTTATGAAGCCAGGTAAACTGTTCTACCAGCTCCCCGCTGCCCTCTAGTCCAGATCATCGCCCCCCACCTGCATTATACAGGTTCTCTCCGTCCTTTCCCATCCCTGAGTCTACCCATTTTTCTCCTTTTCTTTTCTACTATCTGCAGTCATTCCCTGTTATCTTCCACCAGGTCCCCCTTTCCCCACTGAACAATTATAATTTCATCAAGCAAGACCACACATATTCAGTAAAATACACACACACACACACATTTATGCACATATCTATTGTGTGTACATATATTTTATTGTATTTTTGAGAAAATATTTATTTAGATATACTTTTTAAATTTCCAGGTTATTAATATATTAAAATAGATATGGTCATATCTTCAAGTGTGAGTGGCATCACCAAAACCCTGAAATTATCATTATTTTTCATGGGTAAATTTCCTCCAGTTTACTTGGATTTGCTTTGAAGATGTTTCCAGGAACACATATACGACCTTACTGAGGATTAAAGAGAATGTGTGTAGAAGTGCTGTGTAAACCAAGAGGCTTTAAGGAGCTGTTAGGTCTTACAGTCAGCCTGTAAAGCAAAAATCAAGTGCAGTCAAAAGCACCCTTAAAAACCTTAAAATGCCATAGTTTTCTGTAACCTACCTCCATATAAAAATATATAATTTTACAAGATAGATGTATAAATGTATACCACATTCAGTAACGTATAATATGCAGCAGAGAGCCAAGCTGTACAAAACACATCTTAAACACCAGAATTACATTCCATGTGCTGAAAGCAGATAGACACACAGCGTACGGCACAGCTGAGTTCCTACTGCCCACCTCCTGATGATTCCACGACACATACCTACTAAGTGAGATAGAGGGAGAACGGTCATGACAACCGATGTTTTGCTCTTCCGTATTTTTACCTCAGTGTATAAAAGCTGATTTTGAATAAATAAAAATAACAAAATGGAAGGTATTATTATTAATTGCTCTTAAACTGCATTAGGTGACACCTAAGTTATTTACTATCAAATTAAAATTTTTTGAAAATTTAATGTTTTGGTACAATGACAGATATATGTCATTTTGTACGTTTGTTCAAGCCCACAGAATGTACAACACCAAGAGTGAACCCTGAGGTAAACTACAGATTTGGGGTGACTATGACGCATCAATGTAGCTTCATCCTTGGTAACAAATGTCCCATTCTGGTGAGTGATGTTGATCATGGGGGAGGCTAGCATGTGTGGGGTAGGGGGTGTATGGGAAATCACTGTACTTTCCTCTCAATTTTGTTAGGAACCTAAAACTGCTATAAAATAAAAAAAATAAAAAGTCTTTATTTTAAAAAGTGTACTAAATAATTCTAAAATAAAATGCTTTACCCTGAGGCAAACACTAAAATTTCACATCCACAAATTATATAAATACAATATCCTTTTTAATGAAAGAAACTGCCCAGCAGGCTGATGTTTGCCCAGAGACGATACAGTGAGAGGCAGTACTCCAAGCTGCAATACCAGGGTGCGAGCCCTGTCACAGTACACACAGCTGAACCGCCTTTCAGCCAATGTAAATGATGATCAAGACCGGAAAAAATGAATAAAAATAAATGATTTATTGGCAGTAACATACCTGCTCCTACTTTTGTCCACAGGGAAGATGCGAATAGATTTATCAAAACTAGCGGACACGAACTCCTTCCCAGTGGGAGAGTAATCCACATCGAGCACCGCAGACACGTGATCCATGTGCACCATTACAGGAGTGTCCAGTGCACGCATATCAAAAGTATATAAGCTGTAAAAGGATTTTTAATTATTTGATACAAATTTCAATAAAGCAGCATATGCAGTATTAAGAGACAGTAGTGAAAGTAACACCAATGGCTAAATAACGCACATCTAAATAAACAGCTCAATTCTTCACACAGCAGGTAAGAGATAGGGAAAAATGTCAATTGTTTTTATTATTCCTTAAGATTGCATTTACACACTTTCATCCTTATAAACACCAATCTTGTAGAAAATGGGAATTTCAAACAAGTACAGAATACAAAACTTACCTTTAATGCTGCCAGAGAAAGCAATTATTTCTAATCTTTTTATCATGCAAATTAAATGTATACTTTTAATAAAACTGAGCTATGAAAAAAAGCTCCATATTCTGATATTTCCATGTAGCATATTATGAACATTTAATCATTAAATAATCTTTGAAACTATTTTAATGGTTGCATATTTAAATTAGTTAAAATAATTTATAATTTGTTTAAATTCATTTATTAATAAATAATTCTTAAATGAAATGCCAACATTTGAATTTTTAACACTTAATTTTTGATTGAATGAGATGATTTTAATTAAATCTAGACTGATTCCTGCGAGTTCGATTTTAAGTCCAAAGGCATGAATATTTTTGAGGCTTTTGAGTTGACAAGTGATTTCTAACAAAGTTGCACTAATTTATACTCCTATCGGTGATATGAGTACAGCTTTTCAAAGACTGTACTAAAATTAGAAAACTATACTTTGGGCACGACTGGTAAAAATAACAATTGCATGACTATTGAGGTTTAAAAATGCTTAATGGACAGCTAAAAGAATAATGAATGTTTCAAATGAGCCAATATGTACAATGGACAATGGCAATACAGTATTACTGTGACCAAGTTCCTAACATCAAAACACTTCAAGATGCTAAGATTAGTGAGCAAAACTTTGAGGAGAAATAGGATACCTACATAATTTCAAAGTTATCTCCCCAAAATATGTATTAATTACAAAAGGGAAAAACAGTAACTTTATAGCAGAGAAACCTGGCAGATACCACCTTAAGTAAACGATCAAGGTTAACATCACCAGTAATAAGACATAATGACATCGAGTAACACTGATTCAATGCACCAAAAAGGGCTTATCAGTTTTGTGGTATTCTTACCGAAAATACATTATAATGAGGAACATCAGTTAAGTCCTAATTAAGGGCAGTCTCCAAAATAACTAACAAGTCAGTCCTTTTCAAAAGTACTCAGGTCATGAAAGACAAGGGGAGATTGAGGAATAGTCAAAGACTGAGCAGACGAAGGAGACATAACAATCAAATGTAACACGCGATCCTGCATTGGACCCTAGAACTGGTGATGGAATAAAGTCTGTAGTGTAGTTAACAGTATTGCATAAATATTATGAGTATCAGCTACCTGAAGAGCTACAAATTTTGTAGGCAGATGTTTTTAATTTCTATTGAAACATGTATGATTTGGTCATTATATGGTCTCCATCACAATCAGCCAACTTTTTCTGTAAAAGGGCAGATAAACATCTTTGGCCTTGAGGGCCATGGCGTCTCTCTGACTACTCAGCTCATGCTTGACAGCACAAAAACAGCCATATTCAGTGCATAAATGAGTGTGGCTATCTTACAATAAACCTTTACCAAAATAGACAGCAGACAGGATTTGGTCCACAGGTCATAGCTTACAATTCTTTGTATCATTTTAAAAACCGAGAATACTTTTCTAATGAAGCTCTTCTCCAACTTGGGAAAAAGAGAGAGAGAGAGAGAGAAAGAGAGAGAGAAAGAATGTGTGTATGTTAGAACAAATGACCGTTTTCCCACATATATGAAGAAATTCTGCATAGGAAACATTTCATCAGTAAAATATAAAACTGAGCCATTTCTGAGAGAAATAATGAAGTTTTATGGAGGGAAACTTACTTGTAATCTTCATTTGCTGCAGTGAAAATGAAAGCTTCCATAGGGTTCCAACAAATCGTGTTTGTTCTCATATCTAAGATGACCTGAGAAAAGGAGTATACACTAACCTATTACTATAAAGTCAATTCCCTCTAAAATGAATAAATGCCCTACTTCATTACCTTTCCTTTTTTTCCTCATTGACTTAAGCAAATATTTAGTAAGTACCTATTATGTGCTCAGTACCCTGAGTAACAAGAAATCAATTATTGTTTTACAAACACACAGAGTGGTAAATAGTGAAAAAATATAAAAAATGTTTAATAAATTATAGTCCCTTGACCTCAAATAACTTAATTTCATCAGAAAAATTAGACATATAAAAAAGTTAAAATATAAATAATGAACCAATAAATAAGGATCAAATCAGAAGCAAAATTAATGGCGAGTTTAGAGTTAAAATAGAGAAGTTTCAAAAGACAAGCATGACTGGAACTAACCTGTGAAGAACCAATATATTATACAGCTTGTGAAGAAGAACATTTTGGGTAGGACAATCTTTTCCTGTGTGTGACTGTCCACTAGGATGTTTAGCCTCTCAGGCGCCTGCCTCCTAAATGCTAGTTAGCAGTCCCTAAAACGCTCCTCCCACATTTCCAAAAACACACCCGGTAAGGGAGTATAATTTGGTTGAGAACTACTACACTTAGGCTGTAAAGGATGAAAGGAACACAGTCTAGTAGACAGAACAAAGAAATAATAGAAAACAGCACCTCTGCATCCATTGAGGCGACCTGCATGTGACAACCCCTATTTATATTTGCCTTATGATTGAAACCAATAAATAAATGGAATACACACTGGGACCAGGTCTTGGAGGCCTTGAGAGCCAGGCTACAGCTCTTTTCTTCAACCTAAAGGCACTGGAACACCATTTAAAAATTGGGAAGGCAGGGGCGGGGGATGGGGCAGAAAACTATTACTTATTAAACTAGTACTACATGTTGGCATTCTGCTAACTGCTTAAAGTATTAGGTTTTATTCTCACCAATGTGCTGCAAGGTTGTTATTAATATCACCATTAATAGGAGAAACACAGGTTAGGCTATCTGCTTAAAGTTTAAAACCAAAGTTCATGGAGGATCTCCCCACTATACGACATGAATAAGATGATAAAAGTGGTACTTTGGAAAGGTTACCATATTTATCAAGTTCAGACCTCAATGAATATACTCTACTCCTAATATTTCTAAATTTATTACATGTTATAAAATGATTTAGGATTAACAAAAATATTAAAAGCATTTCTTTTACATGTGGACTTTTTTTGACAATGAACTCCTGGTACGCCGCCGCCGCCGCCTAGCGCTTCCTGGATGCTCACAATTCTTCTATTAGCACTCCTCTCTTTACCAACGATATTTCTCTTCCTTAGAGTCAGCCTAGGATTGTATTAGCTTTGATATCGAACTCCTGGAATGACTGCTTAGCACTATTGGGAAATCTGTCACTTTGAACAGGACAGTGTTTGTCTAAACAAAATGTCAAACTAGTACCTGTCAGCATGTAACTAAACAAATAAAGCTGGTTATATAAATGTTATAAAACTTTCTGGAATACTATATTTGTCATATGATAACCATGGGGCCTGAAGTGAAGGGATGCAACAATTTCAATTAAAGAACTTTCAGTTTAAGAAGTACTAACTAGATGCCTAAAATTGACTGGCTTATGGAAGCCACAGAGAAGACTAGAATACAGTACCTAGTAGAAATAAGGGTCTCTAAAAAGTAAAAGGGAGCTGAGGGAATGTCACTGTGATCTCTTTGGATTCTAATAACATCTCTATGAAAAAAAATTTTTTTTTAATTCTGAAGAAACATTTGCTGTGTATTCTGTCACTCAATCTACCAAGGAATGCATTAACAATTGTATAAAGCAGAAAATAAATTGAAACTCACCTTTTTCAGAGGAGTAGCTTGCCTCATATCATATAGTACTATATTCCTGTCAGAAGCACAACTTCCCAAGAGAAATGTCTAAAAATAAGAAGCACCAGTTAAAGCCAGGCTTGGCAGCAAACCATGTCCATTCAGTGAACAAATGATTTAATCACCCTTAATATTTATGCCTAGGATGCAAAGTTATAATATTAAAGTCCATTTTAAGAGGATACAATAAATCACTCATAATCTCAACAACCTAAATATTTTCACTGTTAAATTCCCATGTGTGTTGTAGATGCCAATGATAGTATACAGATAATTCAGTATTCTATAACAACATATATTACTTATCCATTCTTCAACTTAGATCTGTTTTCTGTTTTTTAGTATTATAAATACTTCAATAAACACTTTCATACTTTTAGCTCTTTTTCTACAGACAAAATTTCAGTAGTGGCATTACTTAATCAAAAAACCATTTAAAAATTTATGGCTTTTGATATTTAGGGCTAATTGTTTTCCAGAGAGTTGTACCAACATACACTGCAATGGGGGAATTGGCCAATTTTACTGCAAACAAGCAGCATTACGTAGTGACATTTAAAAGGTAGTATCTACATGGCAATATTTTCTAATTATATAAATTATTACTTTATTAGTAGTTAAACATGTCCTCGGGTAATGTTAACTCTCTGTATAAATTAGGCCTGTCCTTTCTTTAGTTGTTTCATGACGTTTCAAACATTTATTTCTAAGTCAGTTATAAATGTGCAAAGTAGTTATACAAGCATTGGCTTTTAGTGCAAATAAGCTCTCTGGCTACCAGTGAAGCCTTGAACCCTACCCTTTGCAGCACCATTGCTCCTAACTCAGGGCTCCTGACACTAATAACTCTTGGCTTCTGCCTACTAGTTACTTTCTATTGCAAATGTAAGAGGAACATGTCTCATTTACTAAATACCTGTATGGCCAGCTCCTACTACATGTGTATACAAGTTCAAATAAAACATCATCAGGACCTCCAAAACATTTCTCTCAAATCACTTCCTCTCTGAGGCTTTCTCCTAGTGAGTGACTCCTCTCAGCCTTTCTCGGTGTTTCGTTATGTCACCCCGAGGTCTGACCAGTTTCCATTTCTAGATATAAAGACTCTGATGTAAGCAAAACAAAAATTCCACCTGGACTGAAAACTGATTTCCACACTGTAAAATGTGGCAATGCTTAGTTTACTAAACACTTAGTTTTATTAGAATTCTAAGCTTCAATATTTTAACAGAAAATTTATTATTAATAACTGGAGGAGAAAAATACACTTCATTTGTCCACAGCAACATGCCCTTTCCATTAAGTTTAACACAGGATAAGAGACATGCATACCATTTGCTTTTACCACTCAGTTCATAAGGTTACAAAAAAATAAAACTACAACACCACAGCCAAACAATTACAGTTATTACACAGGCAAATTTGAAAAACATGGTTGTCTGGTCATCACTAATGGTTATAATTTTAGAGCTGCCCATCAGTTTTTCTGACACAGGTGTCCACCAAAACAGAGAAGCAAAAGATCTTCCCTCAGAGAAGGAAAAAATCAGTACTGCCTGTTAAAATTAAATTTAATTTTTTTTTAATTTATTGATTTGAGAGAGAGAGAGAGAGAGAAAGAGAAACATCAGTTTGTTGCTCCACTTATTTATGCATTCATTGGGTGCTTCTTGTATGTGCCCTGACCATGGATCAAACCCACAATCTTGGCATATAGGGACAATGCTCTAACCAACCCAGCACCCAGCCAGGGCCTGTTTTTAAAATAGTAATAACATCACCATCTTAAACTTGGATAGCACCTCCTAAAGATATTCACATACATTATCACATTTTATACTCACAATAAACCTATGAAGTACACTGAAAGATATAATTAATCTCATTTTAAAAATAAAGAAACAAATTTAGAGAAAAAGTCTGGACTGTATAAGGTCAAAGGCACGCTGGCAGTAGGTTACATGCCAGGGGCAGGAAGAATATCCTCTGACTGACTCCCCAGCAGCACTACAAGTCCAGGATCACATCACAAGGTAGCACCTCATGTGCCAACGCATCATACAATGTGTATACCTTGCTACTTTGACTTGGCCTTTCTACCCTCCCTTTTGTCAGCATGGGTCTCCAAGAGGATACAATACTTGCATATCAGGATTTTCTCTTATACTATTAACATGATAATTTCCTGGTAATTTCTAAAATCAGCTTACACATGCAGCAATTTCTTTTTCTTTCTATAGGAAAAAGCATCTCCACTGAGTCTCTCCTGGGCCATGAGTTAGCCTCTATAGTTATACACTCAGAAAAAGCTCCTGAGAAGACCTGGAGTCTGAGGGTGAGCTTAGCCTGCAGGGCGGCCTCTTTTCCTAAATCCGGGCCTGACTAAATGGTAAGTAGTAGCCAATCTCCAACTGTTCCCTTAGACCTGGAAGCAATTAGGGATCACAATTCATACTTCTTAAAAAAGTAAAATGTAACTAATTAACCATGCAGAACAATAATCAAGCATATTATTAAGCATATTACTGGTGCCCTTGCCACTAACAAATAAATAATGAAAACAATGCTCATTTTCTTCTTCTTCTGACCTCCAAGAGAGTTAAAATTAACATTTTCCTTAAGATGCAATGATGTACTCTGTGGTACAAGAGTGCTGAAGGTATGAGTTAAACAAGTGTCACAGTACAGTGTTTGCTTGAATTCTACCCCCTGCGCTCAGGCACACACCCTTCCCTCCTCTAACGCTGCTTATACTGGTATCTGGGACTAAACTGCAGACAAATGTGTTGAGATCTATCGAAGGTGTCAGAACTCAGATATAATCTGGAAAATTGACCAAAGGCCAGAAACACAATGAAAACTCAGAAAAACTATATCACATGTTTAATCATTTGCTACACAGAGCTGAAATTATTAAATAATAAGGAAACAATAAGCAAAAAATATTTCAAAAAGAAACATTACCTCAATTGGGTTAAATTTAACACTACATATACTGTCAAATCCCCAAGTCATTGAACATATAGGGCTGGTTCTTTGTTCATCCCAAATGTCTACTTGCTGTCCACATGTGGCAAAAACAGCTTCTTTCCAGTGATGATCAATTCCTGTATACACTGTCTTTAAAAGCAAAGAGGTTGTTATAAATGGATCTTTTCATTACTACTTCAAGTCTACAGAATAATATTTTAACTATATTTATCTATTCTCTCATTTTTTTTGAAAACCCCTGTTCACAAAGAAACTTCTTTGAGGCCCTTAAAGGAGAAACAGTATCATAAAGAGTGATGTGTCCTATCATACATTTTTGGAAAAAAGAAAAAATATTAACATGGGATGCATTTAGTTAAGTGTGAAAACTTATCACTGAAGCAATCTTTAAATCATCATTAGGTTATTGAAGGATCTAATAAAATACAAAGGTAATTTCTAAAAAACTTCACTCCACATTTACCAAATAAAACACTGACTTCCTGGATAGAAACATAGATAACAACAACTGGATTAAAATTTAGAGAGAAAAATAAAACTGGTGAGGGTGGATGCTAATATTGTTGAAAGCAATAAAATCTTATGAATTTGATATTATCCACTTAAAGTAAGTGATTAATCTAGTCAGGTCCAGGTTAAAGTCTGCCTTTGTACTATTGTTTGTAATAATTGTTTGCAAAAAAAGAAAGAAATACAGCGTCCAGCAGAAGTAAGGCCTGCTTGAGTGTGGTTGGCAGGATAATAATATGGGTGTTGATAATTTATAGTTTTTGACTTCTAAAGATTTTATTTATTTTTAGAGGGGGGAAGGGAGGGACAAAATGAGGGAGAGAAACATCGCGTGTGAAAGAGAAAGAGTTGCCTCTCACACGCCCCCAACTGGTGACCTGAATGGCAACCCAGGCATGTGCCCTGACTGAGAATCAAGCTGGCACTCAATCCACTGAGCAACATCAGCCAGGGAGATAATTTATAGTTTCAATTTGAACATTTCACCTAAAATGTCATATGGTATGCTTGAGTGTGATACTGTTTTGTTACCGAGTCACATGCTTTATGATTTTGTAATGAGAAAGGGGCGTTATTTGTGCTGGACCCTGTATTTAGCCAATACTTTAAGCTTTTAAGAACTCTTATTGCATCTGCAGGCTTCTAATTATTTTCTATTCATAAAGGCAGTCCTACAAACTTTTTCACAATTAGAACTACCTATATCACAGAGGAAGAGGTAAGACTGAATATTTCAAAAAAAATCTTTTGGAACTTCTAGGGAAAAAGCATTTTATAAGTATGAAGCCAATTTTGTTTCAGAAATTACTATTTTTTTAACCACCTGGAAGTTATTTCCATCTCATACTCATACCCCACCTCCAAATCCCTTTAAGAACATTGAGAACTTGAAACCTGAAAAGCAGCACCTAAATATATACTAACTATAACAGTGAAATGACAAAGTGAGTTTTAAAATGCATATATTTAAAGATTCAGTCCAATTTTAGAATTCTGCTTACTATCAAATGTAAGCATTATAAAACACTGGTAACCAATTGTTCTTAATTATACTTAAGCTATAACTAAATCACCTGATTTGCAGAACAATGTCATAAGAAGTATGAAGGAGATTTATACAAAAAGCATCACCATATTATTACATTTCTTCATTTCCTAAAGGATTCTTTCAAGCTAGACATTCTCAGCTTTGTGTAAGGCCTATGACAATATAAATCAGAGAGAAACTGAAGCACTATTTTTTCTGACCTTTTTACCTTACAGATGTGCCCCCCAGGGCTTTGCTAGAGAAAACGTCTCCTTGCATCCTCTAGCTAAAAACAGGAATTGAACCCTACTACAGTGAGCATCAAAGAACTGTTTGAATTCTTTAGCTGCAAAGGACCAAAACTGCATTAAACAGTGCTTAAAATGGGTCAATTATTATAGTCTAAAGTCTTTGATTTGTTATTTACCTCTTTTTGGAAGTACAAATTATCAAATAATTTGAAAAGAGAATAATTTTAACAGACAAAGTATGGGTCAACTTATTTTTGTACCTTTCCTAATATTGTATGCAGTGGTTCTTCCTCTTCTCCAAAGCCTGGTCCGTCCATTTTCCACTGCTTCACAGTTTTATCATCGCCAACCTAACAATATTTATTATGATGATGATAATAAACAATAGTTACAAATTATAAACTTGCCAACATATACATCAACCATGAACATCTCCACCTTTAAAATCAACACATCTGATATTGTCCAGTATCATAATTATTCATGCATTTATCTCACCCTGTTTTATAGTAAAGATTTTGAACAAAGACATACAGTACATAAAATTAAAAATAAAATAGTATGAGTAGGGCAAAAGTAAATGAGAGTAGGAATAAAGTTAGGCTATACATAATGGCAAAAAAACCCAACTGTGTATTTTAATAATTTTGGCATTTTAAATGAAAGAGAAAAACAGATTCTAATAAAATGATCTTGTGATATCAGGTGGTCACTTAAAAAACTGAACTAATTTGATGCCTGACATAAAAATAAAATGCCAGATAATTTTAAATGTGAAAAATGAAGAGAACCACTAGAGAGAAGACATTTTTATAATCTTGGCATAAGTAAAGTCCTTCTTTGCCTTACACAAAACTCCAGAAACTACTGAGCTGAGGGTTTTCAAACTGAACTTAAAGAGCTCTGAGGGACCCTAAGAATTTTTCAGAGGTCCATAAGGTCAAAACTATTTTCATAATGTTAGTAAAGACATCATCTGCCTTTTCATTGTGCTCACAGATGTACACATAGTAAAGAAGCAATGATGGGTACAACTGCTGGCATCTTAGCTCAAATGAGGGAAAGACAACAAACTGGATTTTTGGACTTGGGTATGTTGCAGATACATTCAAGATATTAGGGGAAACTACAAAACAGAATGCAAAATATCACCTGATTTGGGATTAAAAACATCATGTATTCATCTACAGAAATAGCATAAATTTAGCTCTTGTAGCAAATTCAAAAAGGGAAACACTTCCTGTGAAATAATTCATTGTACTTATGATATTAGAATGGAATAAGTGATTAGAAGAGAAGTTTGGGTACTAAACTTCTAAGGTCAGACAGAAATTTCTTTTGTTGAGGATGCTAACAGACAAAATGTATTTGATAGGGCTTTATTTTATTAACAACCTGAATCTAAGCTACTGGCATCATACCAAAACTCAATTCTGGAAACCAGTATTGGGAGCCAGTAAAATGTTATCAAGGTACCAAGGTCTTGGCTGATCTGGCTTGACTCAATGGAATATTTTAGCATCTGTGGAAGACAGGATAAACTGTAATCAGGAACACCCTACCTGAAAACTGTTTCTTTCAATCAAGCTTTTGATAAACAGTGTCTGCCAGCTCAAGACTGATCCTCTTTGTAAATGCATAAGCTCTCTATACAATTCTATTGAGTACAAGCTTCAGCAGACCATCAATCCTGAGAAAGGTAACATCTTGTAGAAAGGAGGAGCCAAACAAGAATGTGCCTGGCTAAGAATATCTCATCTCCAAGCTGACTAAGCTGAGGAAGGACCTGTTGGTACCACAAATTGGGATATCATAGGTACTATGAAATTTAATAAAGGTTTATCTTTTGCAACACTGTATATTAAACATTTTTTGAAACATTAAGCACTGAAATTATGCCATTAAGTAGTTTTCACATGTGTGTCATCTCTAGCCAGGCACACATTACTTTAAAATATCTAAAGGGAAAAATGAATAGTGAATATAAAACATTTTCAGCCTTTACTCATTTTTAAGCATTTAAAAAAATAGCAAATCCTCCAGCTGGAATATTAAGCTAATCAATATATCCAGAAGAATAACCAATTGGAAGAAGTGTAGCTACAGTCTGCTCCAACTTCCCACCCAATAACTTCAATAACATATATACACATACAGTTATGAAACTTGTCTGCACCCCTCTAGTGAAAAGCTACTAAATGCTCTGCAATGTAGCCTATTTTAGTTTTTGACAGCAAATAGGTTTTTCCTTACTTTTAACATTAACATCTATTCCTAAGGCTCCTATATGAAACAAATAAGTCCATTTCTTTTTTCACATGACAATCTTTCAAATATTTAAAGATAACTTTCATGTTTCCCAGAAGTCATTTCTTTCCTTCATTACTCCCTTACTATCTGGGTTTTGCACCCAAGCATGCTACTCAACTTGTTCTTTAAAAAGCCATCACCAAATAAAGAAAAGGAAGATTTACAAGTTGGTTAGTGTGTAAAGAGACACAAAAGGTTGCACGTCTAGGTCAAAACATTTGAAAACATATACATCAAACTTCTAACAGTGTTATAACTGAGTAGAATTACAAGACCTTTAACTTTCAATTTTTCGCAGGTCTAATTCCTACAATATTCTTCTCAGCCTTTGTTCTCATCATCCTTTGCAGTAGTTCACATAACCAACTATCCCTTCCTTCTGGGACGTTAAGCTCATTCACAGGTTCTGATTGCCTGGCTATTCCCAGAGTTTCCCCACTCTTAAAGGTGGGCATCCTCCAAGGCTCTTTCCCTGACATCTCTGATTTCTGTATTTCCCACCTCACTTCTCCCTAGTGATGCCCTACCATCACTTCGATAGTTATTTCTGTATTGATGCTTCCACGTTTAACTCTGACTTCCCTCCCGAGCCCCAGATCTGTATCTGCAAAGGTTCAATAGACACCTTCACTTGAACAGCCCACTGGCAGTCCAGCTCATCACGCTGTATCCTTCCCATTCTCACTCTCCTCTAAAGTTTCTGACACTCCTGGCTTCCCCATGTCTGTAACTGAAAGCGCCATCTTCTTAGACATCCCACAGTTACCAAGCCTGTCAAACCTCCAAAATGTTTCTAAACCTACGAACTGATTTCCACTGTTTTCACTGCCCAGTGTTGACTCATTATTGCTTAACAAGACTATTAAAACAGCCTCCACACTGATCACTCATTGCTGTCAAATTAATCATTTCAAAGTACAGCTGAGACTTTGTCATGCCCCTGCTAAAAAGTTTCAATCAGCTCAGAAATTTGTACACCAGTGTTCTTAGTAGCATTATTCACAAAGCCAAAAGGCAAAGCAACCAAATGTCCATCGGTGGATGAATGAATAAACAAAATGTGGTGTATATATACAATGGAGTATTATTCGGTCTTAAAAAGGAAAGAAAATTCTGACACATTCTAAAACATTGATGAACCCTAAGAACATTTTGTTAAGCGAAATAAGTCAGAACAGAGGGCAAATATTATATGATTCCTCTAATATGAGCTACCTAGAACTGTCGAATACACAGACACAAAGTGGGACAGCATTTACTAAGGCCTGGAGTCAAGGGGGATGGGAGTTGTTTATTGAGCTACAGAGTTAACAGTTTAGGAAAATGAAAAAATTTTGGAAATGGCTAGTGGTGATGGATGTGCAACGATATGATGTACTTAATGCCACTGAAATGTACACTTAAAAATGGTTAGAATGGTAAACTTCATGTTATGTTTATCTTACCTCCCCTCAACACACAATGATTTACAACTGTTGACACAGTACAATTTCCTCATTCCTAGCACTGAAAATCCTCCAGAATAAACTAAACTACCTTTCTAGCCTCACCTTGCATTAATCCCACATCTCAGTATCCTATAGGATATTAGTTTCACTATTATATTAAGTAATTATTTATTTAAAAATTATATACAGAAGCATTGGGGAAGGCTGTATTACACAAAGAAAACTAGTACTTTCCAAGGTTTTAGTAAGCTATTTTGCACTGTGAAACTCCAAAAGAGCCCTGGAAGAAATATATAAACTCAGAAAATACTCAATTAGATCAGTCTTACACATGTTGAAAAGAGTTAATAACTTAATTGCATTATACTTACAGTAAAAAAAGAACTCCCACAAAAACGAGTACATATTCCTCGTACAAAACCTTCATGTGCTTGTATTGTACGGATACAGTTTCGTTTGGTCAAGTTCCAAATTCTAACCTGTGATAGAGTATACCAGGAGATTTCAGTAACTGTAAATATAAAATGTTCAACCACAGGAATACTACATTCCAAGAAAAATAAATTCAACACTGAAAAAGCTATGACTCATTCTACCAGACAGCTAAAAGCAAATCTTCTGGATTAAAATAATGCAATCATTAAGGATAAGTATACCAACAAGCAGAACATTCAATCTGTTAAATACTCTATTGATTCTAGTTTAAAGTATTTCAAAGCTTGCTTTCTTTGCCAGAGTGGGAAATAAGTGTTGAATCATTACTAACATCCTGTTATTAATAAAACTCACACTAAAAATCTTTATTATAAACATGTTTTATTATTTACTATCAAATTAAGCCTTAAGCTACTACATTTTTAATTTCTTGGGTTTAGAAAAGAAACAACAAAAGTTACTAATTCGGTCTTGAGAATTAAAAGAAAATGGAACATATAAAAATGAAGTCAAACCAATTAAAACCCACAGTAACTCAAAACTAAAGGAAGAACATTTGTAATACAACTATTTTTAGTTTAAAATATCAATGTTTAGAGTGATGCTTGCCTCTCCATCACATGCCCCAGAAAGGACAGTAGCCAGGCTCTTTGGATGCTTTGCCAAGCAATTGACTCCATCACGGTGACCATCCAGAGAAGCAAGGAATGGTTTTGCAAATACGCGTTCCAGTTTGGTAGCATTTAAAGCTCTTACGTATTCTCGTGGGACCTCAAAAGGATGTAAGGTTGGATCATAGTTTCTTGGAACTGAAATGAGAATGACTCCTTTTAATAAAAACAATTCACATTTAATATTTCCTGTGGTCTTCCTTAGCTAATCATTCAATTTGTTATTCAATAAACCATTGTTCGGGACACCGATCTATGCCCAGCACTGTGAAGAATATGAAAGTAGAAGACCTTTCGTCCAGAAACCTTCCCAAAATTGCCAATAAAACATAGAATGCATATATTTTGCAAAACAATTAGACCCTATATACAAACACAGCTCTTATTTTTTAAAAAGATTTTATTTTTAAAGAGAGGGAAGTGAGGGAGAAGGAGACGGAGAGAAATGTCAATGTGTGAGAGAAACATCAATCAGTTGCCTCTTGCACGTTCCCAACCAGGGACCTGGCCCCACACCCCAGGCATGTGCCCTGGGTGGGAACTGAACCTGCAACCCCTCCAGTTTCCGGGGGGGATGCCCACCAGGCAGGACAATTTGTCTCCTACTACATCCTTCAGCTGGTTGTGAGTGTTTACAGGCAGGGCTTCCATTACATTCTTCACTTGTACTCCTATGTCTAGCACAGTGCCTGGCACAAAACAAGTGCATGTTTGCCCAACTGAACTCTAAGCATCTAGTGGGGCAGGGAATATTATTAATCTCCTGCGCTGTCAATGTAGTGACAGGCAAACACTGTTGTAATTATGGTTATAGTTACTATTTACTCAACACTTTCCAAGCTTGTTTGTTTACTTTAAATAGAATTTGCCATGTGCTAGGCACTGTTGCAAATATCTTACATATTTTAAAATAATTTTTTAAAGATTTTATTTATTTATTTTTAGAGAGAGGGAAAGGGGGGGTGAAAGAGAGGGAGACCTATAAGTAGCCTTTCATAGGCCCCCAACCAGGGACCTGACCAGGAATCAAACGACCTTTTGGTTCACAGGCTGGAGCTCGATCCACTTGAGCCACACCAGTCAGGGGACAAATACCTTTTATTAACTCATTTAATCTCCATAGCACCTTACGGGTTAGGTTCTACTACTATTTCCTACCGTACAGATGAGGGAACTGAGGTACAGAGCAGCAACTTGCCTGTGAAGTGATGGAGTCAGGTTTCAAACCAAGGCAGCTGGGCTCCAGAATAAATGTTTTTAACTGTTATGCTGTGCTGCCTAACGTGCTGTCACAGTTAATACCCTCAATGTCTGAAAGTACATGTATCTTCTCACCCCATGACTCTACCCTGCTGTCTCTTCTGACTCCGTTAATGATCCTGTGGATGAAAAAGAGGTTCTACACAAAGCAATCTCACAGTGTGATCTGATCACAAATTCCTAAATGGGCAAATAATTTGCAGGTAATTAATTATACCTCAGGCAAGTAAAGTCTTCAGTAAACCAGTTTATCTTTGCCTTAAGCAAACTCTTTCCATTTGTTTCTGTTACACACATTTGAAATACTCTTAACCACCCTCAAGAGAGCACAAATTATTTTCAACCATATAAAAGAAACTGCAAAAATGTCATTCGCCTGAGCATTTGAAATCTTGCTTCCCAGAAATTGCCAGTTTGGCTCAAATAAATTCCTATAAAAATTTTCTACAAGTTCAGAAGTTTCTGGTATTGATAGTACTATACCCAACATTCAATCAAAGTTACAGATCAACCATTCTTATGTATTCCATCTACCACATTCCCCAGTGCCAAAACTTGAAGTTCTACTTATACTATCTCAGAAATACTTATTCATTCTTTCTTTTCCTACCTCCAGTAACTTAGTTTTGACCCATATTACTTTATATTTGACTACTGTAATATCCCTATGCTATTTGATGGCAGTTTATACTATCACCAGATTAATCATTCTAAAACACAGCTTTTTGCATGTCATTCCCATGCTCAAAAACTTTTTTTTTAAATATATTTTATTTTTTTTTAGAGGGAGGAAAAGGGAGAAAGAGAGGGAGAGAAACATCACTGTGGTTGCCTCTCGCGCCCCCCACCCGCCCCAGGGACCTAGCCCAGCAACCCAGGCATGTGCCCTGACTGGGAATCAAACCAGTGACCCTTTTGTTCACAGACCGGAGCTCAATCCACTGAGACACACCACCCAGGGCTCAAAAACTTTCAAAGGCTCCCTACCAAACTCTTCGTAGTCTTTAAACTCTTTTGACTGTTTGACCCATTAGTAACAGTTTTTGAGCAGATCTCTGCGACTCAACTATACACACACACACACACACACACACACACACATACAGAGAATTTATTTAATGAGAGCATGTAATTAAAGGTGCTGTTTTTTAAAATCTCAATCTAACACTATTCAAAGGTTTTAATTACAATGTTGGGTTTTAATTGCTACTGCAGTTGCAAAAAAATATAGGCAGACCTTGCTAATCTATGGTACTATGTTACTGGGAACACAGATGTACCAGAACCAATTCCTCATTTTGCAGTTTTCTGGTAACAGATGTGACTTGTGGCATGTCACTGTGAGCATGTCAAAGAGTGGGACTGGTTGAGTTAAAATGGTACTGTGCAAAGTGGGAACTACCTGCCTTCACAAAGACAAGAGGATCCAAAGAGAAGACATCCGTAGTTTCTTATTTATAGTATATTTAGTTTTAGTCCCATCCACCCGTTTAATAAAGGGGTTTTTCTAAAATATGTTTAGAAAATTTCCATTTACTCTGATATCTACAGCTCTTCCTACAACTATCTGGCATTTTAATAATTTTAATAGTTAAAAAACCTCAACAAGATAGATCATTCTGTTAAGCAATATTTATGTGTAGTCAAAAATTAATTTTTATAGAAGACACATCATTTTCAGGAATTTTTTAAATGATGAAAACAGTTCTAAATATATGTTTAAAAAATGATCTGCCACAGCACAAGATATTTTTTGAAAAGTAACCACTTCCTTACTCATCACTAAAATGGATACTGAAGTAGCAGGTTGTGTGTTTTTTTTTTAAAATAAAAACTCCTACATAGTATTCATAGCTACAGAAAAATTCAGCAAATGTTACAATGCTTAATTCACCATTATGTTCCACAACTCTTCTACGAACTTTGCCATATATTACCAAGGAACCTCTGCAGAAAAACAGATTTTTATGGCTCCCCTCATCACTTTACAAATTATTATAATTATAAAGATTCTGTTATTTAAAATAATATAATCCCCCAATTAATATAAACTGTAATAATATGTTGCACTATTCTAAAGGTAGAAGCAAGCACACCTTTGTCAACTCTCTAGTCTTTTCTTGGGAAACCTGAAGTACCAAATGCAGTGTGTGACTAATTTAACATATTCCTGAAATGGGAATGTCAGTGTCAATATAAGTATTATCTAAATAAAGATTAATTTATTTTCTAAAATAAGAAATACAAATTGAAGTATTATTTGTTTTTTCCTACTCTGCAATGAATAGGCCAGAAAATCCATTTTAGTGTCCTCTGACCAATGGAATTAATTTCAACCTCCTTTCTGGTTTTCCACAATGTGGTCCCAATCTACTTCTCCAACTTCATGCACTTTTTGAAGCTCCAGTCAAACTGGTTTATTCACTGTCACCTAAAACTGCCTTGGCCTTTCCTACTCTTGAATACTTGGAGAAGTCATTTCTTCCCTCCAAGAATGTACTCCAACTTTCCTCCTAACCTAGCCAAACCCTACATATGCTTTAAAAATATTCAGCTTAAATCTCATGTCTTCTATAAAGTGTTTCAAATCACTACAATCACTGCCACCTCTAAATTCATACAATCAACATTAAACAGTCAATGAGTGCATATGGAACATCTGCTATATGCCACAAGCACCAAGGCTATCATAGCTGACAAACACATAGCATCTATTTACATGTCTTTCTCGAGCATCTGTTTGTCAACCAATATATCAGAATAACCAATGGAATTTTAAAAATAGAGATTATCTGATGTCTCCCCCAGGTCAATGAATCAAAGAACTCAAGTAAGTATTTGAATACTGCAAAAAATTTACAAGGACATAACAGCTAAGTAAGAATAAAAGAATAAAAAATGATAGCAAATGGCTTCCTTATTTTATGTTTTACAGAGCTCCAAAACTTCTATTTTTCCATTTTGCTATTAACACTTCTATCATCAAGTATAAAGAAATAGGAAGTTCTTATAAAAAGTAAGACCCTTAACACCAAGAACAGATAACTAATCACCTTTTAACATTGAGATTCAATGACCAACCAGCCATTCACTCATTCCTGCGTTAAGAAAATGCCTGAAATGCACTCAGATTAGCAAGGGTAAATGTAAACTACTTGTGAGAAAAGTAATGACTGGCAAAACTAGAGAGGAAGATGGGACCAGGTTCAAGAAATAGAAATGACATCAAATCCAAGTGACATAACCTAATACATACTAGAAACTTCACTGCCTTGTTACTACCTGTAAACATCTTGTGAGTAGATATTTACTTCTTAGCAATACTCGCATATATATTGATAACCTCTAGTGCTCAATGAAAATAACGAAATACTGTTCTAGCCTCATCTTCTATCACTTATCCCTTACTCAAACTCCGATGACATGGCCCCCAGGGTCATTTTTCCCTATAGAGGCCTTCGAACTTGTTATTCTCTTCATTTAGAACAGCCTGTTCACATACGACTGGTCCCTTATCATTTAGATATCATGAGCAATTATATGATTAATTCATAAGCAGTCAGCATATCAATGAGGGAACAGACCTATACGGATAAACAAAGCTCATTAACGTCATTTTAACCATTTACAAATCCTTGAATTGATAAAACTGATGGCTTCAGGTTTCACATTTGTCTCTTCCTACATCCAGACGTACGTAATTTTAGGCAGTAAAGTGATCAGAAGTTAGGGCAGCAGAAAGGTTTAAAGAAGCCAGTTTAATTTGTAAATTCCTCAACCCACGAGTTTGGCTCATTCAAGTTGCATGTTTCAACAGGAACCTGAGAACAATTTGAGAGAGGGGCGGGGGAGCAGAAGCATTCTCCATACAGCTAACTTTCCCACTAACCACTAGAGAAAGTTCTTTTAAAGAGGACTTCAAGAGAAGTTACCTGCTACGCTGTCCCATGTGGCCTGATCTGAAAAAAGTTTGCACTGGAGAAAGCGAGCAGTGAAAGAACGAGACGAGAGTGCCAGTCTCCCAGCAGCTTTCCTCGGTGGAAGCCCAGATCAGACCCAAGCCTGACGGACTCTCTACTAACTTGTCTCACCTCTCTGTAAATCCAGCTTGGTTTCGCGGACATAGTTGTCCGGGTTCCGACTCAGCATCTTCACCTTCATCTTCGCTGCCAGTTCCCACCGACTCCACGAGTCTTTTCCTCCAGGTCCGGTTGGAGCCCCCGCCCCTGGAGCATGCTACTTCCGCTTCTTGTATACTACTTCCTGCCATGTGACTTCCACGGAATGGAAACCGGTTGCCTGGTTGCCTTGGCTGGACCCTGCAGCTCTCCGTAGTTTGGCGGAGAAGGGTTGGCCGAGGGCGGTTCTGTGCACTGGACCCACGTCCTTCAGCCACAGCCTGCAGCAGCTGTGGGCGAGGCTGGGCGGGGACTCGGAGGAGGAGGGGGAACCCACTCCTTCGCGTTCTGTGCAGTTGCCCCCTGTCATGCCTGGTCTGCTGCAGAGTCTCCCCTCTTGGTGCATCCGATTCTGCGCGCCAATTCCGGAAGTGGGCTAGCGCCGAGGAGTTCTGCTTCAGGGACGCCGTGGCGGCCACTGCACCTCGTCCCACCTCCTCGGCCCTAGGCGCTGTGGTATCAGCAGGCCCCAAGCCAATGACGGGGCAGGGCCAGTCGGCGCCCGGGTCCACGGTGTGGAGCACGATATTCCGCCATGTCCGGTATGAGAACCTGGTGGCGGGTGTGAGCGGCGGAGTCCTGTCCAACTTCGCGCTGCACCCGCTGGACCTAGTGAAGATACGCTTTGCAGGTAAGAGCCTGCTCTAACCCTGGGTTCTTTCTCCTTGCTGTCACCCCAGACGGGGTGGTAGAGACGCTAAAGGAGGCTTTGGTCTTTTCTGCTCCTTCCATACGAAGTGTAAGCGTTAAAGATTGCTCTCTGTCTGGGCTCACCGGGAATTAGATTTGAAAGGGGCTAGCCATGGTCGCCTGGGTTCCCCAAGAGTAAGGGATGGGGAGCATGGGTAGAAGAGTCAGAAGAGTCCTCATTGGTGTAGAATGTCTGACTCAAAGCCTGATTTGTAAATAAAAAAGGGGTTGTCACATTTTAGACTTAGACCTCAACACGTGCAAAACATTCATGGTTGAAGGTAGTTCAGAATCTTAGGATAGCCACGTGTTTGGCAGTGCTAAGGAAAATGCAAGTGCTTAATGTAAGGGGTGATCTCCAGCAGATTTGAGATAGAATTCTCTGGAAGGTTTGTTTTTTAGCGTTTATAGTGTAGTACAAGGTCTTGTGAAGAGGTATCTAGAATCCAAATACTATTTTGTTTTTTATTTAGGCTTATTGAATTAAGTGTCTTGAGCTAAGTAAATTAGTATATTGAAATTAACAAAGTACTTGAAAAGTTAAACTCAACACTAAATTCTGGAAAAGATAGATTCAAAGACGGTGATTATTTGCAAACTATTTTGTCATTTAACTACACATTAAGTTCTGCCTTGAGAATAATATCTGAAGGAGTGGTTTATCTTAAAGAGTTTAATTCTACCCTATTCATTTGATATATTTGTAGACTGCATGAGGGACACAGAAGCATGTAAACAAAGTTCTTGCCTTAGGGAAACTTACTAATTGTAGATTTGAGACGTAGTCATATAAAAGACCATCCTAGACAACATACCAAAGGGGCCCCCCAAAAACCTGAATTTATTTATAAAAATTTATGTATTCTTATATGTTTAAACTTTAGTGACCTTCAATGTACTCTCTATTGGATGCATTACACCTATTGAGACTTTTTTCCTACTGATAAAAAGTTTTTTGAATGCATCAATTTTGATGCCTTTTGGTGCTTCTGCTCTTTTTTGTTTCACCTCTTCCACATTGGCAAAAATGTTTCCCTCTGAGGACTATTTTCATCCAGGGAAACAAAGTCATTCCAGGAGAGAGAGGGTGAATAGTGAGGGTTGGGCTTGGGAGTAACACCATTTGGGAGTGGGGGTGGGGGGATTTTTTGGTCAAAAACTGTTTGATACTCAGCACAGTGTTTGCACATTTAATCACCTGTCATTAAATGTGCAAATGCTTTGAAAGAGTTTTCAAAAAAAAAAAATTTACTGAGGTGGAACACAGCCTCTTACAATGCCAGCTAGTACAGCTGGGCCCCTGGGAGGAGGGGAGCCTGTACAACAAGAGGCACAAGACAATTCTGGTTTTTTTTGGTTTTTTGTTTGTTTGTTTCTGCCTCCTCCTCCACGTAAAGCCAAGGGCAAAATTGAATAAATCTAAATTCCAAAATATGAGCAGAGGTAGACTATCAAGAAAATTATAGATTGCTGATAGCTGTATGTGTCTGTATCTGTAAAGGTTCCATTAGATCTTAAGGCTCCCCATAGAAGGACTAATAATATTTTGACAGGTAGAAGGTAAGAAGCCATTCTATGAAGGAAAAATCAGTGAAAATTATGGAGTATTATCCATCGGAGAAAACCCACAGAGGCATATAATTTTTCTGGAGTTTATGATGCATGCACAAATAACTTATGACATAACATTCATTGAGCATTTACTAGGAACAAGGCAATGAACTATGCGCTGTCTTATTGGCCACTCTGAACAACCCAGTGGCTTTATTTTCCACATCATACAGATGAGGATAATAGAAGTTGACTAACTTGTTTAAGTCACAAATTTGTCACAAGAGAGCTGGGATTTGAACCCAGGCAGTGTAATCTAGAACCCTCTGGCACTTAACCACTCATATTACTACAAATAGGAATCCCTGGATCCCTGGTATACTCTAACTTGAGCATGAAGAAAAGGATTTTGAGTTTGGCTATAGGCGCTGGCCAGTATGGCTTGATATCTCTCTTCTGCAGCTCTTGACTGGGAACAGAAAAGGTGTCGATTGAGATTGAGGAATAGTGTGGTTGACACAGTGAGTTTCAGAGTGTGTGATAAGCATACCATGCCTGAGGGAAGGGAATCCTTGATACCTGAGAAGACTGGTAATCGTAATGAAATGGAGAGAGTATTAGGAGACCAGTAGGGCCAGGTGATAGATAAAGCAATTGAAATTGGGTGGGAGGACAGAATTAAAGATTTAGGAGTCGAAGCAGGTCTTTATAATAATAAAGCCCACAGTGTGACTATGAAATGGTGATAGAAAAGAAGAAAATTCGGCAAAATGGATAACTGAAATCAAAATAATTGGTTGACCATAAGCATTATTGCTGTAATTTTTATGCTTTAGGAAAATTAAGGCCTTACAATAAAATTGTAGTATCTAGTGACTGGGGATGTTAGTCTTAAATGTACCAATAAATGAAACTTGGACTATTTCAGTGAGCCAAAAGCAAATTGGAGCTCAAAGGTGTCTGGAGTAGTAGAAAAAATTAGAAACCATTTCATGTGAGAAATGGCTGGAGGAACTAGTTTAGTTTGGTGGGAGGGTGGGAGAGCGGTGGGGGGCGGGGGAGTGGAACCTAAGATATTTAGAGAACTGGCTTGTAGGAAAGAGAGCTGCCTTATTATTGTTGATCTACAGGGAAGACAGAAGTTGGATGGAAATTACAGGGGATCAGATTTTTGGCCTGGCAAAGTAGTGGTGCCCAGAAATGAAACCATGATGATTAGAAGTAGTTCAGTGGCTGGATGACAGAGGTTAGAAGATATTCTTGTACTGGGTGGAAAGATTGGATAAGGTGATCGTTGAGATCTCTTCTGACTAGAAGATGCACAGCCATCCTGTGGTATCTGCAGGGCATGGGTTCCAGGATCCCTTTGTGTGTACGAGAATCCCTAGATGTTCAGGTCCCTTACATAAAATGATGTATTTGCATATAACCTACACACAGTTTCCCATATACTTTAAATCGTCTCTAAATTAGTGATAATACCTCATAGCAATACAATATAAATACTATGTAAATAGTTGTTATGCTGTATTATTTAGGGAATAATGACAAGAAAAAAAAAGTTTGTACATCTTTCAGTACAGATGCAACCATCATAGGCCTAATTATGTAGTACACATCAACAGAATAACTTTTTCTTAAATATTTTTGATCCTGGTTGGTTGAATCTGTGGGTGTAGAGGGTGGGCTGTAATTTTAAATCATCAGGAATGATGAGAGAGCCACAACAAAGAATGTAAATGAGGTATAAAAATAATAATTTTCTAAAATAACCTCAAAATCTAATCATCCACAGATTAATCAGGGAACCAAAATGGAGAGTCCAATAACAGGAATAGCATGACAGTTGAGTTTTGGTATGTACTATAGCAAGAGCCAGTAGCATAAATAAACTAACACTGAGTGATTGCTATGTGCCAGGCAGAATTTTAAGGGCTTTATATGAAATCCCTCATAATTTTTAGAGTTAGGCTCTATTATTTTTCTCATTTTATGGCTGCCAAAACTCCATCACGTAATAATCAAATAACTTAGGGTCACACAGTAAGTTTTGGAATTGGGGTTCAAACCTAGTAAGTCCGATTCCATAGCATATGCAGTTAGTTTGAAACCGTAAGTGGGTAGTTTGGTATAGCTAAATGGTAGAATGCTAAAGGTTGGAAATGAAAATGATTCCAGAAAGTTACGAAGCTGCCACATTGACACTTCTTTTATGCCATGTGAAAATGGAAGCCAGGTCTGGGTGTTAAGAATGAGACCAGGACTAGAAATGTAGCCACTGTAACACAGAGACAGCAGTTGAAGCTACTTAGTAATTAAGAGACTATCCCCCATTAAGTGGAAAGATTGCTGATAAAAATCAGCATTTGAAAGATGTGCAGAAGACAAGGAGGCTGCAAAGGAAATTTAGTGGCCAAAGAGGAAGTAAGAGGAAAATCAGGAGAGTATAGTGTGAAGTTAGCCTGAAGAAGAGTGTTTTAGGAGGTAAACAATGACAGGAGCTACCGAAGGATTAGTAAGTTTATTTTTTGAGTAAAATTTTTGATCATTTGAATCTTTAATCTTGGGTATCTATAACAAAAGCAAAACTTGTGTTGAAACCTATTTACTTAAGAGGCCTGTGGATTATTTAAGAGCTGCTAATCCAACACATCCTACAATATTATTTGAGTGCTCATTATACCCTCAATAAAAACTTGGATAAATTCACAAATGTGTTTACTTCAAAACACATTTTATTTTATTTTAAAACAATCCTGGAAAATAGTTTCCTCCCCCTGAATGTTTTTCTCCTGAATTTACCTCCTTTATATGATTGTATGATATCTATGTTTGTATGTGATTCAGACCTTGAACTTGGCTCCCACCTGACTGTGTATCTTTTACTGCAGTGAGTGATGGATTGGAACTGAGGCCAAAATATAAAGGAATTCTGCATTGCTTGACTACCATTTGGAAACTTGATGGACTCCGGGGCCTTTACCAAGGAGTAACCCCAAATGTATGGGGTGCAGGTTTATCCTGGGGACTCTACTTTTTCTTGTGAGTAGATCTAGGAGATTTTCCAGTATTAAATAAAAATGATTTTTTTCCAGTGATCTTTTTTTTTTTTTTTAACATATCAGTTAATAACAGTGTGAGTCAATTAGTTTCTCTGAATTGGAAGGGTAGGAAAGCGCAAAATGGTTTATTTCATTCTCTGTTAGCTATTATCAGAGGCATTTGGTTTGGAAGAAAGTTCTTAATAGGAAGAAGGCAAAGAGATGGAATGGAGAAGCACTCTTATAGAAGCCATTTCTGTGAGATGAATTCAGGAAGATGGCTTTCCAAAATACATTTGATTCATAATGAAGTTGGAAAAGCAGAAGAGAACAGATCTTGGGTTCCCATAACATCATGTACCCCAGGAAAATCTCTACTGGAAGCAAAGCAGAAGCCAATTTATAGCTGAAGGAGTTTGAGGTCCTTCTTACCTCTTACATGACCTGATTCATCCTCTTGCTAGCTCATTTATTTCCTTTATCCTTAACCTATAAGATACCATCACCAGTTGAAAAACTGCTATTGCATGCTTCATGAAGAAGCCACAGAAAGCACCTATGGCAGGCACATTCAGCCTGTTGAGAGCACAAGAACATGGGACCAAGGCATAACCACACTGCAATAGAAGAATGTGTGCTGCTTTAAGTGAAGGCAAAATAAAATTCAACTTCAGTATTGTTTAGGTATTTTTTTCAATTCTAAGACATACTTAGAAGGATGATACTAAATGTATAAAATTCATGGTATTAATTTCAGAGTTGTGGAGGTTCTGCAAAGACAGTTTATAAGAACAAGCCATATAAGGTTTATGTGGTGAAAATTTTTTATAATAAAACAGTATATTTGTTTCATGTTAGAATGGTGTTGGTAAAGCTTGGGAAGATTTATTTAGCTGAAATCTTCTTTCAAGAGAAGGTGGAAATTGGAGGTAAAGAAAATACGCTGATTTGACTCCTGTACTCAGGAACACGTTAGTGGTTTTCTGTTTTCTGCCAAATAAAGCCTAAATCTCAGCCTGCCACTCACGTGTGGCTCAGTTTTCCCTGCCTTTCCATTCACCCTTATAAATTTTGCTTATGCTCAACTGTTTTCCTGTTTAAATTGTACCTGTCTCTCCATACTCAGCCAGGGCCACTTCCTACACAAAGCCTTCTGTGGTGTCAGTCATAGTTTCTCAATCTTTTATGATTCCTTCTGTGTTATCTTTTATTATGATTATTTGTTTGCTGCCCATGGTCCTTGTTACTCTGTTAAGGATCTATTGAGAGATTTTATCTTTTTAACTACTGCACTTGCCAACCATAATACCGGATCAGAGATGTTCAGCGCATGTTTTTGTTAGGTGCCATTTTGGTCTCTTTTGTCTACCCAGTTACTGTACCACCAATGCACCTTCCCCCTCTTGGTCTTCCCTGTTGTTTTTATTAATGGATGAGTGTGTGATTAAAATATTTTGCATATGTATTGTTAGCCATATATATTTGGGAGGAGGAGAGGTATAATCTTAACAGTAAACCATTCCAGCAAATCCATTCCTGAAAAAGGTCTTATGTTGTGGCTGCGTTATGCATTGACTTTTACCTTTGAGGCATCATAGTTAAGTTGCACACCACTTTTAAAAACAGACTTTACTGTTTTATGATACCTGCTCAAATATTTATTAAACTGCTCATGTTTTATTCTTTTAGTTACAATGCCATCAAATCATATAAGACAGAAGGGAGAGCTGAACGGTTAGAGGCAACAGAATACCTTGTCTCAGCTGCCGAAGCTGGTAAGATAGTGTGTGAAATTTAAAGTGTCAGATTTTGACTTTTGTTTTTTATTTTATTTGCCTTTTTTCCTTTGAGCACCAGAGCTTAAATATGCCTACTTAACTATACTAATCAGTGATCACATGAAATTTCTTTAAAAAGTAGGTATTCTTATTGATTTCTCTGGGTAGATTTCAAGAACTTTGCTTACCACAGGGTAGTAAAATTCAGAAAAGTTATAGATCTCTAATAGTTTTAAATGATACAGTAGAGCGATTCTTCAATTAAAGTATAATTTCAGTTTTCAAATTATATGAGTACAATTCAGTAGCCTTGTTTAATTGCCTCATGTGTATAAATAATATTCAGAAGGGGAGAACAAAGTAAGACCAGTAAGTCTTTAAAATTCCTACTTTGAGCCCTGACTGGTGTGGCTCAATTGGCTGGGTGCTGTTCCACAAAGCGAAAGGTTGCTAGTTCCGTTGTAGGTCAGGGCGCATGCCTGGGCTGCAGGTTCAGTCCCTGGTTAGGGCGTGTGCAAGAGGCAACCGGTGTTGGTGTTTCTCTCTCACATTTATGTTTCTCCCCCTCTCATTCTCCCTCCTCCTCTCTCTGAAAATAAAAATTAAAAAAATGAAATAAAATTTTCACTTTGCTATTTTGTGCTTTACTTTCTCAATGTTGATTTTTAAGGTAAGAACTATCTTACTTATTTTTGAATACCTAGCTGCTAATAGAGATCTGAATCACAAGAACAATAAGAATTTGTTAAATAAAAGACTACTTAGAAAACTCAACAGATGAGAAACTTACCTAGATATGGATTTTTTTGTTTTGTTGTTTCTGTTTTTTACAAAGTTGTCACTTTCTGTAAAGAATGTAAAATAATACTTATTCCATTGCATAGTTCTTTAATTTCTGGGGCATAGTGGCTATTTTGCTACAAAGCAATATTGTGGCAAAGTTGAGGCAGATATATGTGTACACATCCATGTGCTGTTGAGGTGCTGGATTCCCAGTCCTTTTCCCCCTGATCTTCCACCCCTCTGGGGTATACTGTGTCCTGCTCCTAAGTATCTGTATTTGCTTAGCAGAGTCTGCTTCCTGGGACTGCCATCTGTTCTCTTACACCAGGTCACATTGTTTAGGAGCTAGGACATCTTTATCCTCACACCTCAAAGGGAAAGTGTTTCACATTTCCATCTCCTTTTTAATTTACCTCTCACTACCTACATAAGGAACTTTTTATAACCACCCAAGACTTTTTAGTCCTAAGTGAGTCAGAGACCACATGTCCCTATTGCAGGTACAGACCCTGGGCAACCCCATTCTTTATATAAATGGACTGTTCTTAATTTGGATTGTCATAAGTGAAAAAGTATCCCTATGCTGAGTAATTGTATTTATATCTGCTTTCAGGAGCCATGACTCTCTGCATTACAAACCCATTCTGGGTAGCAAAAACTCGCCTTATGTTGCAGTATGATAGTGTTGTTAACTCCTCACAGCGGCAATATAAAGGAATGTTTGATACACTTTGGAAAATATATAAGCATGAAGGTGTGCGTGGGTTGTATAAGGTAATGAATTATTATAAATACATTTTTAATAATAACTGACCATTGTACTTACCCTTAGCTCTACTGTCCAAGTTCTGAATGACCTGTAGTCAGTCATAAAAAGGAGCCAAACTTAGGCAAGAAACAAATTAATGTTAAAACTGAAATCTAGTTTACAGTATTGGAGTTATACTTTAAGCTGTATATCCCCATTTCCATAAGGTATTTATCATGACACAGGTGGATGTGAGAGCTATCTAAAATTTTGTTGAGTAACCATTTCACATTTGTCAAGTTACAAATTGAGGTCACCCATTCCATATTCCCCTCCCTGGAAGCTGTGGTCCTTCAGGAATTTGCTTACTTAGTTAAGCTTTTTGTTTGTTTCAACTTAGGGGTTTGTTCCTGGGCTGTTTGGAACATCACATGGTGCCCTTCAGTTTATGGCATATGAATTGTTGAAGTTGAAATACAACCAGCATATCAACAGATTGCCAGAAGCCCAGTTGGTAAGACGATTCTTGAAAAAACGTACCATACTATGTACTTTATGGGGATATAATAGATGGAAATGTTGCCATATTTACTTTGGGAGTATTGTTGTGATGATGAATGGTAAGTACTGACTCTACCAGTAATTTAATTTATAATTAAATGTTTTATAGGCTAATGACACACAGATGTTAAAAAAGAACCCCTTAACTGCTCAGAGCCTGTGCTAAGAGGGGAAGTAGTATTTTTTACTTACAGATCCAGTTAAATGTTTGTTTTCCTATATAGTTTATATACACTTATATATTTTTAAAGGAATCCTACCTAAAGGAAAGCACATGTTTTGTGTTGTCATTTTAGAGCACAGTAGAATATATATCTGTTGCAGCACTATCCAAGATATTTGCTGTAGCAGCAACGTACCCATATCAAGTTGTGAGAGCACGTCTTCAGGATCAGCATATGTCTTACAAGGGTGTATTGGATGTCATTATGAAGACATGGAGGTGAGAGCATGTGGTATATCAAAATGGCTTATAGGAGGCACCCTGCAAATCTTCAGCTGTGTAGGTGACATTAGCTGTATAGCGAAGGCCAGTGTGCTGTGACGAAAACATGGCTGGTAGCCCCTGCTTTCGCATTTCCCATGTACTGTGTATAGGACCATGGACTTTATCTCCCTAAGGCTTGATTTATCAAATTAGAATGTCTGGGCTGACAAGGCTGTTAAAAAAATCAAATGAGATCTGTGAAAGTGCTTTAACAAATTAAAAAAACAGAATTTAGATGTTAAAAAATATTTGAATGGCCTTGAATATAGGAAGTCATAAAAGACCTGGTTTAATACGGTTAAGGCAGTACATTCACTAAGGGCGCTATAACTTTTGCATATATAGCAGGTCCTGGAACAACATCATTTCATTATAATGTTAATGAGTTTCCATAGGACCTTAACTCTTGTTTATATCAATTAGCCTATGGTAAAATTGGTTTTGTTATATGTCATTTCATTTCAAGTCTCAGAACCTATTGACTACATTAAATGAAAATTTACTGCACGAGACTTCATGTTTGGAAAAAATGCATGTTTGTTAGCATTCCCATATTTGTCTTTAATTCTAAAAGGCCAGGGCAGAATATTTAGAATGTTTAAATTTAGTTCAGTTACTAAATATTTATCAAGAACCCAAGCGACAAGTTCAAAGGTCATCTTTCTGCTCTAGGCATTAAGGAAATAAAATTTTGTTTTGGAGTGTGCTATATTTAGTGTTGTCTCGTATTTGTATGATATATGAGTTATAATGCCTACATTAGATCAGTTAATAGTCTTGCATGTTTATGCATTTAAAGGCATTTGAAAGATGGTTATCATTAAAGCACTTTGCAGTTCAGTTTTGAGGTGTCCCTGTCCAGGACATTGAAAACATGGACTTATATCACAATGAGGTTTGACTGCTGGGTCCATGCTCTGTTAAACTTTTGTATCTTCAGCCTAGCCATATAGAAAATTAAGCATCTATCTATTTTTCCCTCTAAAGGAAAGAAGGCATCGGTGGATTTTATAAAGGAATTGCTCCCAATCTGATTAGAGTGACTCCAGCCTGCTGTATTACCTTCGTGGTATATGAAAATGTGTCTCATTTTTTACTTAGCCTTAGAGAAGAGAAAAAGTGAGCTAAAAGAAGATAAATTCAGTACACCTGCCCAAGGCAGCAACATATTCCTTTGTGTTTGAAATGTAAAACTCAGAATACTACACGGCAAGACGGCTCATAATTAAAATGGGTCTATAATCACTAGAAGTCAAAAAACTGCTAAGTCTTTACAGTGTCTTTCTGCTTTTTGCCTTCCCCATGTAAATGGGACTTGGCTACCTCTGCCTCAGCCGGCTGCCACCACCGCAACAGTGAAACTGACACCAAGTGGGGAGTTTCATAAGTTTCTCCATTTAATTGTTCAAGTAGAAGCTAATTTGCAGCATTTGCTAAATGGATTAGATGAAGTGCTGCTTTTTTTTAACTCATTTGCCTGGATTAGCTTTAAAACTGACCTCTGTGCAATACAGAAAAAATGACTTCTTATAAGAATGTCATCTCTGTTTCATGGTAAATTAAACTTTAAGGATTTGCTGGAAAAGATGTTGCCCAAATCCAGACCATTTTAGAACTGGGAAATTTTGGTGAGACAAATTTAGTTTCAATTCAATTGGAACACACTAGAGAAATTGAGAAGTTATGTACTTCTCTTGAGAAATATCTGACATCTGTTGTCATTCCACCACTGATTTTATTTCCAGAGGTTCTTCCATAATTTAAAATATGGTACTGGATCCCATTACTTTTTTGGCATGGGTATCTGGTGCCTTTTAAATTTATAAAATCTAAACTAGAATCCAGCTGTGTCAGCCCTTATTTAGCACATTTGGCTATAAATCATTTACTGCAGTTGCAAATGGATCACCTTATGCAGGTACTGGAATGACTGGAATGTTTGTTGATAAACTGCATAGAGCTGAGAAACTTTAATTTCCTACTTTAGTTTTCAGATACATGGGTCCAGATCCCAAATAAATGATTAATCTACAGTGGTTATTGAAATTCAAGTTCAAATACAAATTTCATTAATGACCATTATTGGTTTTACTTTTATCAGTCATTGTAAATATAAAGTTATGCCCCAAAGGGATGCCAGAATAATGTTAATATTTTTATTTATCATAAAAATCTATGACTGCTATTGCACTACCATCTATTTGTTGTAAATAAAACATTGTGGTTTTTCAAAGCCATACTTAAATTGTTCTTTGAAAATAGGTCTATTTTTTATATTTTGAAAATGGCATTGTTTTAAAAATAAAGGTGAAATGATAAGTACCTAGTTATATTTACTATAGTTTATGAATTAAATGTGATTTTTTTCATACTTCTGGGTTATACTATAATTCATATGAAATCCTGATTATCAGTCACTATATGCAGTTGATATTTGGAATTTTAGAATGTGTCATTATTTGAATGACTCCTACATACCCCAATATAATAAAACATAATTTATGTCTTTTAAGAGCATACAAGCTTGCAGAATAAATAAGTAAACATTAAATAACTATAATTCAAGGAGAATTCTACAAAGCTGTATAAGAGCTCTGAGAAAAGAACTCATGTCAGGTCTTCAACAAGTAGTTACTAAGTTCCTGTCCTGTACCAGGCGTGTTACCACGCATTGAGGACATAGCAAGCAAGCCAGACAACACTCTTGCCCTCAAGGAAATTTCATTTAGTGTGATTGAACAGAAAACATACAAATATAAGCATAATATAATTTCAGGTATTAAATACTATAAATTAAAAAAGCAGGGTTGTGAGCAGTATTTCTATGCTAGGTGGGATGGGTGGGGTCGGGAAAGGTCTCTGAGGAGGCAATATTTGAAACGTTTTGCCGTAAGTGAGGAAGTGAGCCACAGTGAGATAGAGGAAACACGCAGAGAATAGGAAGTACAAAGGCCCTGAGGTGGGAATGAGCTTGGCTAAAGGGGATGAGTGGCCAGAGGAGACTGGACAAGTGGCTATTACAGTATGGTGAGAAAGACTGCGGGTTAGGAAACCAGTCCGCCTTCGAATTCCAGCTTTCCCATTTTCTGTGTAACCTTAGGCAAATCCCCTTACCTGTTTGTCTCAGGTTTTCTCATCTATAAAACAGTGTCTTGGATCAATTCCTTGGTAGCAACTCCTGAGATGGCGATCGTCGGGCAAATAGCATATTTACTGAGGGAGTGCTCTTGGGAGAAATCTGTAATGGAGTAAAGAAAACAGGATCCAGTAGAGGAAGAAGAGTTGTCCAAAGTTTGGCTCAGCCTGACCCTACAGCATACTCAGCATTATGGGTTGGACCACACAGGTTGTCGTGCCCAGAGGTGTGGGACTGAGCCCTTGCTACCTGCAGTGCCGGGAGGAGCTGGAGGAGTGGCGAGGTGCCTGCAGGGGCCGTCCTGTAAATAAGGTGGAGCTATGAGCTGTTAGCCAGCACCTGCTGCCGCTGCTGGTGGTGGATGCACCAGCCCTGTAAAAGGGATCTGGGTGGGTCCTCAACATAATCTACTACAGATCAGTATATAAAAAATACAGTAGGCATGGATTACTGACAGGATTAAATGGATAAATCCAAGAAAAGTACTTAGCACAGCCTCTGGGCTAGTAAACATTAGCAGGGGTCAGATCTTACAGATCAGAGTAAAGGGTTTAAATTGTGTGAGATCATTCTGTGGTTGTGTGGAGAAACAAATAGGAGACAGGCAAGAAGCAGGATACTAGTTAGTCCTGTTAGGAAGCTGGTGGTAGTGTGGGCCTGGTTGATGTTGGAGATAGTTTATAGCCTGGGGGAAATTAGAACAGGGTACGTGGAGAAGAAAACATTTAAGCTGGGCCTTGAAGGAAGATACTTTAAAGGGAACCTTGGAACTATGGGGAAAAAGCACAGGTGACATGTCTCGAGCAATGAGTTGACATTGATAATGAAGAGAAAGCTGAAAGATTGGGACTAGAACAAGAGAGCTCAGAGGTTTACTAAGCCCATTTGGGTTTTTTGGTGGACAAAGATAAGTGAGAGAAATTAATGGAACAGGGTTATATGGCTACATCTTAGGGGTGATGAAGACCGATCAGACAAGAGGAGCACACTTAGAAAGATGGGGTTAATCAACCATGCAAACATTTCAGTGGGATGAAGATTAATGCCATTGAGTACTAAGTAGATTAAAATTACAGAGGCTGAAGACAGATTGCTAAGCAAGTGGGGCAAACTGCAAGTATTCATTGCACTACAGACTTCTTTCTTGGATTTCAGCAGATAAAAGAACTTGAGCTTGAAAAAGTGCTGGGAGTCTAGGAAGGAGTGGGAGTGGGAGAGGTTGGCAAAGAGAAAACCAGAGCATGATTGTAGGGAGAATGTGTGACGATTTAAGATACAAGCCTTCCCAACCTCCCCTCCAAAAAAGCTTGCTGGAGTTTGGCACCAGAAAATAAATGTGGTAAAGCAAAGGTAATCCAATGATCCAAGACAATGATGGGTACCGTGCCTTGTGAAAAGAAGGCTATTATCTTTCAGTACATGCTTTCATGGTCTGGCAGTGTTAGAAAGTCGTGTTGTTTTTTAAACACCACACTAAAAAAAGGGATATCAACTAAAAGGTATGTTTAAGTTCATGAGGCATCAGAGAGAGACTTCTTTTGGATGTGGACACTTGACTCAATACAGAATGATCCAGATAAAGTATGTGTTGCCACTTACCTAGCAAAGTCTTTTTAGTGATTATAAAATTATATAAATACTAGGAAATGATTTATTTTACTTTTATATTTGTTTTCTAAAAATGTGTTAATGTGTCATGGTGAATGGATGTAAGGTAAATTGGGTTAAAGTCTTAAATTTCTTTCTAAATGAGTAATAGGAAATAGGCTCTGGAAGTATTGTACCTACAGTGAATACCTATTATTGAGTGCCCAGCAACTATTTCTTTTCCTTCTTGTAGCCTGAATCTTTGCAGAATCTACCCTCTCCCTTCATCCTCATCTTTGTGGTTTAGATGGAATGGGCCTTGCCTGCCCCAGAGGAAGGCCCTGGTTAGCAGAGCCAACCTGCACATGCCATCTCTGTTCATAATGAACAGTTTGGAATTGACAGTTACCTAAGCTGGTCCAGCCAGACTGACACTCAAAGACATTATTTTCTGAGGATACTGACATAGATTCATTCCCTCTTTGCTGTTTCATGAATGAGGATTCATGTATCTCTCAGGTCTCCTCAAATCTGATTTAGGATCATGAACTGGGCGGAGTGTGTCCAAAATGGAGTCAACACCAAGGAAATGACAGCAAAAAATTAAAAGAAAGAAATTCGGTCCTACTTCAAACCGGGGGAAGAAAAGAAAAAAACAAAGCACTCTTCTTTCAGATAAGCTTAAGATTTAACCTCTAGAAAAAAGGACTTTTGAATAAAAAAGAAACTCAGTCATAGTCACATTATACGAGATTCTGGATCAATTCTCACCCCTAGTACACCGACCTCTAGTTTCAATGGGGTGAAGCATTAATTTTCCTTTATTTTGTAAGCCAGACTCAGCTGGGTTTTTCTATTATTTGTTGCAACTGAAAGCTTCCTACATGACAGAATCTGCAATACAGATCCTAAGTCTTTTTCCCATCAATTGTCATGACACTTGTGAACTCCTGTTTCTATGGAAATTAATGTCACCTTTATTAAAAGTGAGCACTTTGGGAATCTTACATATGTTGTGTGGATTCTTTAAAATGTTTTTAGTTTTATAGAAAAACATTATTTAATATTTCTAAAAATTAAAGATTCTTCAACTCACCGTGGAAGGCATAAAAGAAGATTGACCAGTAGACTTAGGAAAATAAAATCTGCTTATGGTAAAAAGGCCCAACTGTATAAAAGTTGGACGATTTGGAAGTGTTCCCTAGATATTTTCTGAGAACAAATATTGCAAGATGATATGTTTGTATTAAATTTCAATGTATGTTAGTTTTGACATTAGGCTTGTTCTACTAAAGGCTAGAAAGTGATTAAACCGGTTCACATTCAATGTGTCAAAAGAAAAAGCAAAAAGCTGCTTTTAAGTGATTTACATTAAACTCTTCCCCATCCAGGATCTAAACTAATTCAGAAGTAGATGAGGTAAGTGCAGCATAAAATAGGATCTTTATTAGTGATCAGGCTGAAATTAGAGAATATGGCTTTTGTCTGTGTAAAAGTGGGCTTCCTCATACCAAGTCCCGGGACATACAGATGTACC